TTACGAACAGCCTATGAATCTTTGCAAGTAGTTTTTGATTTTTATTGTTTAATCTTCTGAAGTTAGATATTTAAATAAACCTACTAAAAAAGTGAAGATCGCATTTTTTTACGTATAATCTCACTGATGCAATCGTACATCGTACAAAGAGTTAAAAAATCGTATAAATACGATTTAAATCGTACGCTTGGCAGCACTGAGACAGACAGTAGACGTGGACAGTTTGTAAATATAAATGTCAGTTTTATGTATATCGAAGAATCCTGAATTCAAATTTTTAATTTTGAGTTCATGATTGTGTTATCCTCTAGATGAACTAAGCGAAATAGTTGTGGCTGTTTTTGTGTGAAATTTGTGGACAATAATTATATTTTGTGGCGTTCTTTAATTAACCAAAGTTAAATCTAGTCATGTAAGGACCGATTCCACCGTTGTGTTAAACGGAGATTAAAATGACATTGTTAATGTAAAAATATTTATTTTAAACTCCGTTTAACACAACGGTGGAATCGGTCCTTAGTAACATAAAACCAACTTTTGTCACAAAGTAGGTCTTCATGTATTTTATTGTTTTAGAACAATAAAATGGCTTCAAAACGTTAGAAAGAAGATTTGATATAGGAAGAAAAATATCTGAATTCCCATTATTGAGTTTGCACTCAACATTTTTAAATAAGACACCATTGGCCATTCGTTTGGAAAAAAAAAATGTAATGATACAAATAACGATCAAAAATTAAAAAATATTTGTCATGAAAATAGATTTACAGTAATTAATCGATAATACTGTAAGTGTAGTATTTTTTTAAATAAATAATTTAGCGTAATTACATTGTTTAAATTTATTTACAAGAACATGAGAGTGCTGTCGATATTCATACAACCTTTATTATCAGGTTTTTAAATTTCCCGCTGCGTTGTTTGATATCGATGAAAGCGCCACATAGTGGGTCAGATGTTAACTGCGTTAAAGCTGGTCGTTGTTAAGCATTGGCTTCTTATGAGCGTTTCCTATCTTTATCTCCCTTATCTCTAGGCGTGGTGTTCCCGAAACAACTTTGACAGTGTCAATATTACTACACAAAGTAAGTCATGTCTGGACTTTCATAGCTACCCCCGATTTAATAAGACACAGGCTATATCTCATGAACTAAAGATATCAGAAAATTATATTAAAACCTTTTCTAATATTGTCATGTCCAGTAAAATATTAAAAAACCATTATTAAAATACATTAAATAAATTATTATACTTTTAAATAAATCCTAGAATAAAAATTTCAATAATCTCTTAAATGTAAATATATCTTTGAGTAAATAATATTGTATACATTTCATAACAAAAACATAGATGTTGAACTATTAACAGGACCTGCATTAATTGTGTCAAATTAAGGAAATAGTTAATAGTTACAAATTCGACACTGATTACTGTTATGAGGACAGTTCTCCTTTTGCTGTACTGGGAGGTATCTAAAGTAATAGATACCTTTTAGTTTTGGAGTAAGTGTCGTGACGTGCCACTCACAGGGAATGTTTTGGTAAGGCCCTTTTATATTGTATATTATTATTATCGGTTTTATATTTTGAATATTGAATATTTATTGATTGATGAATAAAATTGTTATGTTTCAACTCGACTTTTATTTCATAAAGAAAGGTAGCCCGAATTAATAACATTAAATAATTATTTCGACGGTTAGAAAAGAGGGTTGTGAATATATACAAAGGAGGAACTAAAATGACGTAATCAATCCCCTATGCACCACCTACCTCAACAAAAAAAAAACAAATATCAACTCTCTAGATACTTATCATACACCATTGGAATGCTAGTAAAAAATGGTTTTCAACGATGTAAGTCATACCCTATACTTCAATAGTACCACAGCACGGATTTATATCAAAGAGGTCGACTGTTACCAACTTAATGTGTTTCACTCAGAAAGTATGCAATGCACTCGAACAACTAGATGTCTATACAATATACAGGATGGATAGAAGTAAATAAAATAACTTTTTTCAAAAAATTCAAAAAGAAAATACATTACCTTAAAAAACTAAATCCGGACCTAGACTTGTGTATGAAAAGTAGCTAATTAAATAAATGAAAATGATGAATAAACTGGAGGTTTATATGAAAATGTTGTCGGTTTAAATTGCCAAAACAAATGCTAGAGAAATCGGGGTGCGATAACAAACCAAAGAAAATTTAAAAAATTGAAAAAAATTCTGCTCTGGGTAGGGCTCGAACTCGTGACCTCTGGATCTCCGTCCCATCGTCATAACCACTAGACCGCCAAAGCTTAAAGCTACCACTGGTTCGAGCCCAGAGCAGATTTTTTTCAATTTTTCAAATTTTCTTTGGTTTTTTATCGCACCCCGATTTCTCTAATTAATACTTTTTTGTCGTTTTATTTATGAATCATGATTTATTGTGTCATATGTGATTTCGATTTCAGTAGGGTGATTATCTGAAGCACCTAGTGAATTATTTGTTCAGTAAAGTGAATATGAAGTGCCTCTAGAAGAAAACATATGTTAAATGTAATCGAGAAAGATCCAAAGTTTGGATAATATTGTGAAAAATCAATTATATTCCTTTCACGTTCAACAGGTTCAAGCACAACAACTTGAAGATTTTCCCCATAGTTCAGTTTTGTGAATTATTCTTACAATGACATTAATGTGATCATCATTTTCGGAAGAAAGATCTACACATTATTTAAGTTAGTCAGATAGGACCATATTGGATACATTTTGGAATAAATGTAGTTTATTTTTGAGTTTTTTGAAAAAGTTATTAATTTTAATGACATATACACAGTAAAAAAAAGTATTAACTTAGGAATCATTCTGTATACAGACTTCTCAAAGGTCTTCGTTAAGATGAATCACAGTATTCTTTTGCAAAAATTATACATATATTGGTTTTGATTCCCATATCCTGGAATTCTATGTCATATTTAACTGTTCGTTCTCCCTATGTTGAATATAATTGTCACAAATCGATCTTTTTTGTAGCTACCAGTTGCGCGCTCCAAGACAGCAATCTGGCTCAATTATTTTTACTTTTTATTAACTTAATATTTGCTGATGATTTCAAATTGAGTTGTCCCATAAATCATAAAACGATTGTATAGACTTACAAAATGATTTAGATAAATTAAATAATTGGTGTATGGATTTTCAAACTACTACTTGAACATCCATTTTGTATATTCAATACAGAATAATCCACCTGATGGAGTGGAGACAATAATAAATTTGAGAATCAAATTTGACAAGAAGTTTTTACCTCTTTTAACATTACATCCACAGCTAATAAAATGCTTGGGCTCATTTTGAGAAGTTTCAGGGATTTCAGTAGTATAGACTGTTTATTCAACTCATTTGCAGGATTGTGTTTTGAATATGCGGCACTGATATGGTCTCCCATCTCCCATGTATATTTACCATAAGTTACTTATCGAATCTATCCAGTGCAGATTTATGAAATATGATGCATTTAAAATTAATGAGATTTATTATCTGGAGAGGGTAATTATTGATAATGATAATGCTGCTATATTGAGCAAATTGTCTTTTTTATCTCTAGCAAACAGGAGAATACTGCAGGATATAATTTTTATTTATAAATTAATTATTATTTTTTAGTTTTTAAATAGTCACCCTGAATATCTACACTACATTGTCAAGAATTATTAAAATTCTTCCTATAAATTTTTGTTGCATGCTATTTTTTAAAAAAATTGTTTCTTTCAATAGTATGACATACATTTTCAGAACAGTGGATGTATTTGTGCATCAATCAATTTATTTGTTTTGTCTTTTTTACATATTATTGTGGAGTTATGCAGGATTGGAATGTTAAATACATTTACCTAACACACTGCTATATCAATGTGAGAAAAATGTGTACACTTATCAAGATAACTATGTATTAGTAGATCTTTATTGGGTAAGGTTATTCTATTAGTCTCAAGAAAAGACAATATTAATTTATACAAGTTGAGTTCGGGATGTGAACTCCTTTTAATGGACTGAAGTTAGTTACAGAGTTAAAAGAGTTCACCTCCCGAAATCAATATGTATAAATTAATATTGTCTTTTCTTGAGACTAGTAGAAAAACCTTACCCAATAAAGATCTACTAATACAAAGTTATCTTGATAAATTTATACATTTTTCTCACATTGATATAATAGTGTTTTAGGGAAATGTATTTAACATAACTATTAATGCCAGAAGACCTCTTATTAATCAACATCTAAACATTAAAATAAGCTGATAAAACATAATTCATCCATATTGTACTTACCTTGATACAGCAAGGATTGGTTATTCAAAAAATGCAAAACAAGGCCAATGAAAGAAATGTTTAAAAAAAAGGTTATTTATTATGAGAAATTTTTAAAACATTCTTTAAATAATATATGATCTTAGAAAACCTAACATTACATTAGTTGTTTTAATTTAGTGTACCTACATATAGGTTAATATATTTCCATTTTTTACGTTCTAGTAATAAATTTTTATCACTGTAAATATCTATTAGACTGAACGTCCTAGTATAATATCCTAACACTGGAACATATAGGTAATAAGACCTTCTGCATATTATTTTGGTTTGATAGTAAACAAAACAAATTACTTGGTGTTCTTATGAAATATGAAAGGACACACAATACAGCTAGAAGTTCATAAACTTAACTAACGTAACCTAAATTAAACTTTAATCAATATACCTAAATGAACGTTAATCCACCTCTGGTTACCAAAATTCACAATTAAATACTTATTAATTGTATTTGCCAGGAAAACTTACTTTTTCCAATAATGAAGTTAAGAAACGATTATAAGCTGACCTGTTAAGTCTATTCTAGTTTAGTTATAGGTACTTAATCATGAATGATAAATAGAGGATTTAAAATTCTGGAATCAATAAATGGGTGTAAAAAGTAGGTTGGGCTAGGAACATAATTTTAATCGCTTCTCTTACCTGAAGGTTTTTTTGTTCTACTCATGTCTGGTGTATCGTGGGCCATAATAAAAAATAATTTCAATTTCGTCTAGATTTTTAAATATTTAAAGAAATCAAGCATTCATCAATTTGATTTATAAACGTCACATAAAAGTCAAGTTTCAAGTTTACAACTGTCCTGTCAGGCTGTCAGTGTCAGTTTCTTGTCAAAAGTCAAAAACTAATAGGTGCGTTTTAATCATCCGCTTCTGCTTCCGGAATTGTCGGTTTAGTCGTTTTAACCTGTCAGATTAAAACAAGAAAACCGACAATTCCGAAGCAGAAGCGGATGATTAAAACGCACCTAATAAAAAGTTTATGCCAACTTTAGATATACCAACAGTACCAACACAGATGCCCACTTAGAAAAAAAAAAGAACTATAAACACTTGGAACCAAGGGGTTTCAATTTTTATTTTAAAATTAATAATAATTAGAGAATCCGTTATTTATAAGTATGTGGCTACCAGCTTATAATAATTATCAAAGGGGACAACTTAGGAATGAAAACATTAAAAAAAAGGGAGAGTTTAATAACATTTTGAAATAATACAATAATAATATTATTGTTATCCCACATAAAACTAGTTTAATATGGGATTGATTTTAGCAGGGATTATTTTTATGTGAGATTTTTTTTATGTGAGATTTTTTTTGTGGAATCGATTTTATATGAGTTTTTTATGGGATTGGTTTTATTCGGGATTGTTTTTGAGTGGGATTGTTTTTGGGGTCTATTCTATAACAATTCCTTTATATTTTAATGGCCGTTAAAATATTGGCGGCCTTTAAAAATATTGGCGGCCTTTAAAAATATTGGCGGCCTTTAAAAATATTTTCGTATTCGCTAATTTACTTCTGTCACTATTTAAACGGATTTCTTTAAAATAGTCCTCTAATGTATTTTAAAGGAATCCGTTTAAATAATGACAGAAGTAATTTAGTAAATACGAAAATATTTTTAAAGGCCTCCAATATTTTAACGGCCGTTAAAATATAAAGGAATTGTTACAGAATATACCCCTTTTATGTGGGATTTATGTGTAATTGATTTATATACTAATACTACACTAATAGTGTACCTATTGTGTTCGCCATTTAAGGGTGGCATTCACCGGGAGGATGACACATAAGAGCAGTGGCGCATCCAGAGTTTAAGTCTGGGGATGAGTAGTGGTAATATTTAAGAGTTTACAGTTCATCAAATTTCTAGAGGTGTTCGACGCCCAGACAGAGAACGCGCTACGTGTGACTAAGATAGCTATTGTACAGTCTGCTAAACAAGTTATTTTAAATAGTTTTTAATATTTTTAGGTAATTAAATTTTAAAAGTGTGGAATAGTTTAGGGATTAAATTGGTCTGATTGTACTTTCTTAGAACGTTTTTTAAAAGCAGCTAAAGATAGTATGTAGAATTGAAAATAATTATTATGCCATAAAAGGTGTTTTGGAATTCCTTCAACCTTTTGAAATTGAGTCAGAAAATATAAATTTTATAGGATAGCGGAAAATACCTATAATTTTTTTGTTGGCCTTTGTAAATCGTGGAAATAGTTTATATTTTATTTCTACCTTATTAAGGAAAATGGTACCTATTATTAATAACGGTTGTTTCTGAAACATTACTAAAATTTTCGAAATTTTGTTATTCTACAAAATAATAAACTATACTATTTAGAAAAAAATTTATTTCTCTTATAATTTTATAAAAAATAACAGGGGAATATTTACATTTCTTGATCTATTAAACAAAACGATAAATTATCTCGACGAATGACACCATGTTCTGGTACGGAAGCTAGCTTTACATTTTTGTTGGTGGTTTCATGGGTTTCATATCAATTTTTTGTAATTGTAGTTTACACGTACATATACCTCTTAACACTTGTTTGCTTTATTAAAAAAGTGTGTTGTTGTGATTTACGTCGAAATAAGTCAAAAACAACTTGAAACCCCATATAAAATCAAAAAGGAGAAACGGAAAAAAATTGAGCCTGTAAATGAACACAACTCAGAAACAAAAATAGCTATCTAATAATAAAAAAATAAAATTTGATTCTTGTGCAGCTTCATCTATATCATTAACTGTTTTTGGTTTTTTTAATGGTTTTTTCTTGGTGATGACAATTCCGATATCTCACGGTTATCGATTCTTTTTTTCTCTCCAGAAATGCGGACGACAGTGTTTTTAGATACTCCTGTGGCTGCAGCAACACGATCATTTACATTTTTAAATGGTATTGAAGGTCAATTAAAGTTTCCTTCTCTTCTCATAAACTCTATAACATTGGCTATTATTTCGCGAGATTGACTGTTAAGAGGCCCCGACACCAATTTTATTCATAATTGAAAAAGTTTTTGGACGGTTTCTTCTTTATTTTCAAACTTAGAAGGATGCGGTTTTCACCCATTTATTCTAGATCTAATTCTTAAGAGAGGACTAGTGGCAGATTTTTATATATTTTTTGTAATTTTGCAAATAGGATGTAAATTTTTTTAATAAAAACAAAATTTAAAAAACTAAAACTAGTCCTCTCTTCTTATAAAAACTATAAATACAATGAAAAAAACCGCATATTTTTATTTACAAATTAAACCTTCCACTGTCCAAAAACTATTTACGTCCGTAATATGGCGCCCCGCTAATTTCGTTGCGGAATATATCCGTACTATCTTTAGAAAGCGAGAATACCTGAGATACATGGAAAAAACAGTTTTTATATTAAAAGGATAAACTTGAAGTTTTTAAATATATGCGGATGTATTTTTTCCGTTTAATTAATTAAAAAATTATTAGTCATATGTTGTTACACCTGGTACTTTCCCTCGAAGCGCGTGGATTAATGAAGTTAATTTATTTATTTTTTATTTTCCTACCTCTAAAGCTAATACCTTTTATCAAACACCAATATAATCACCGGGTATATTTCTAGATAGAAGCATTGAAGGAAATAGGATAGTTAATATCATCCATTTTTTTTAAACAGTTACAAGATGTATCATATCATTTCAGTGGAGTATACGGTTGCACTATAAAAAATTTGAAAATTGTTAAAGAATTGTAAATGGGATTTTGTTCAATTTTAACCTTCAGATGTACTATGTGTAAATACGTTAGGACAGTATCGACATCCGATATTAACTGTGACAAAAAAAGATTAAATTTTGAGGACAAAAATTACGGCCCAACGTGTGAAAAACCAGATATGTCTTCAGCAGATTTTGAAGAAGCTAAAGCATGTTTTCTATCTTCGCTTCGAAAAGCAAAAGAGGAAATCGAATCCATTGAAGCAAGAACCAAAGAGCAGGCTAACAATTTTAAATGGGTCGAAATGCGAAAAACACCTTCACATTTTGGAGAGGTTTGTAAGCAAAAACCAACGATTTATTGTGCAAATTTGGTTCATAAGTTCCTTATGAATGGGGTAAAGTCAATGAGTCTACTGTAAAAAAATATTTTAATAACACAGCATAAATTGAATATCGAGTCAAGTGGATTATTTATTAGGTGAATACCCCTGGTTTGCTGCAACACCTAATGGTCTTCTGGGAGAAAAACGACTAATCGAAATTAAGTGCCCTTACTTTGCCAGAGACTCTACAATAATAGATGGAATTAGGCAGAAAAATATTTTAATATTAAAAATAAACAAAATTAATGAAGTATCACTAAATACAGGACACAACTGATATTATCAGATTCAAGGTCAATTAAATGTAGCAAAAAAATAATATTGTATTCTTTATATCTGAACTAAAAATGACATTAAGCTGGAAAAAATTACTAGAGACATTGATTTTTGGGTAAACACTATGTTGCCTTACCTTAAAAAAATTTATTTTCACTGCTTTCTCCCGATATTGTGGATTCAAGATTAGCCAGGGGTATGTCAATTAGTTAACCCAAATATATCCTTAAAGCAATAAATAACAAAGAAAAGAAGACTTAGAGTTTGAGTTGAACAAATTAAGAATTATTTAATACAATAAAAATATTTTATGAAAATTGTTTTAGTTTAACTCGTCAAAAAATACTAGTATTGCCTTTTAATTTAAAATATAATACCTACAGTACACTTATCTAAATTAGTCACGTGTAACCGTCCCTGCCTAAGAAGGTAATGTAAATAATATAAGTCTTATGTTCAATTCGAAATTTACAATTTTATAGGTATTTTTTATACACAAAAATATTTGCAAAATTTTTTTTATCTGAAATCAAAAAAAATGATAATTACCTACTAGTCAACTCAAATAAAACAAAGTTTAAGAACGAAACATAAAAATTTTAAAGAATTACTTAATTTTTATATAATAAATCATTTATTTTATTTAAATTCTCACACTAATAACGCAGTTATTTATTCTGTACTCGGAAATAAATGAAATTTTTTCAAATAATATAGATGATCCTGCTAATCTACAACAATTAATTTGTATAAAATAACAGTGCAGCAGCAGCCAAGGAATATTATGTTAGCGTATCACAAACAACTTTTCTAGTGTATCCTTTCTCACAGGCGATTTCTTCGAGGAAGGGAGACAGATGCTAGACAAGAGGTAACCAGCAAAACCGGCATTTGAATTGTACACGTGGTGTCGGGGCGTCTTAATCACGCGGCCTCTTAATTTGCTATTAAACTCCATACTTAGGTTCTATTAAACTGTAATGAGCAAAAAACACAAACGAAAATAAAAGAAATGTTTTAGCGAAATTTACATCTGACATTTACGTCTGAATGAAATAGTGAAATACTTGATGCGCAGAGTGTACTTTCATTGCGTAAATCCGTCGGGATGCCTGTCAGTAGTGCTTTCTCTGTCTAGCCGTCGAAAGCCTCTAGAAATTTGATGTAGTTCTGATAATATAAGTAATACATTTTCAGTACCTATAATAGGTTTGGTTTAAAATTTTTGGGGGTAGTCGAGTAACGTCCTCCCGTATATGTCCCCATATGGCCTCTTTTGGCCTGATGCACGCTTGGGCTCTATATGGTTTCCCCTATATCTCTGTGACATTTGAATTAAACTACTGACCCCAAAATGTATATATGTAAACCCAGAGCTCGAAGAATGATCGCCAAACCCGGAATCTTAGGGTGAAAATGACGATGAGGATTTAACATTATTTAAGTCTCTTGCATAAAGGTTCTAATCTAGAATACAACACTACCTACCCTATTCGGTGATCTAGAAAATCTTTTTATTTAACAAAACTTACCGGGTTGTTTAATTCTAGATCGACGAATCTGTTTTATTTCTACATTCTCCTTTAAAAACCATTTCTGTTAATTAAATACTATTTGATCTTTGTCATATAAGAACTTAAAAGATTCATAATTTTAAACTGATTTTTTCACAATGCTTCAAATGACACAAGTGTCATATTCAAAGTAACAGTAATTTTCTTTTTAATTTTAGTCATTAAGTAGGGTCACTCACGACTACGGATTTCTATATGTATAGCTTAAGGCGGGCGACTGACTTGTGACAAAACATTATTCGCTCCGTACCGAATAAGGCTATTAGTTTTATAATGAGGTTATTTTTTACTTTCCTATCTGTATACAGATATAAGGAAAGTATAGGAATCATGATTTTTTTCGACCTCGAGTTTTCGACGGATTTTTACATTTTGAGGTCCTCTGAATCCGTTTTGACTATTTTCGCGATGATGTCTGTGTTTGTGCGTGTGTGAGTGTGT